TAAATGGACAACAACTGGCAGAAATGGGTACAGCACTTCAGGAAAAGCCAAATCAATCAATCAACAAACACACCTGAAACACTTACTCATTTAAATTAAATCTATCTGGTATTTCATCACATTATCAGAGGCCTTCTGTGCAACTTTCTGAATTTAGCTGATGCATCAGTAAGACTCCACCGAGTAAACTGTGCTTCTACCTGTGAGAAACCTGTTCACCTAACTTGTAATTATGGCTACTGTTTAGCCACAAACATGCCAAAATACCAGAAACATGTTGCTGCAATAAATCCACTATATTTGACATTGTAGAGTTTCTACACAGTAAATCCAAAACACACCTTCTCTTGTCATGAAGATCATGGTCTACCATTAACATATGCTCTTTGCCAGTTAACTCTGGGATCCTAGGATTTGTCAAACACTTTACCGTGGTCCCGCCAAGAGTGCTACTGTTAGGCTGATGCAGAGTAATTAAGCAGACATCCAGAAACTCAGTATACGTCTTGTATTCATGCCTCCACCTGCCTGGTCATGTTATTAGAATACCAGATTAACAAAGCAGAACAGTGGAACACACCAAGAACAGGCAGAGCAAACGTGAATTCAGTTTTGGGGTGGATTACATATCTGTAACCTCTCACAGTTCAAGGCCAGCATTAGAAATCCAATATTTCCCTCTCCCACCCCAGCTCCCCATGCTGTTGCAAAGGTTGGCATTGTTGTTGTCTTGCGGCACTTATCAGTCCGTTATTCAATGATTGCACACGAGATCCAAAGGCGGGTGTAAAAACCCTGTTGAATGACACCCAATATAACCCGCCACCACGGAGGTTTATGCAATGAGAAAAAATAAGACAAGGTTCCATAGGAGCCACAGGTCCAATCCAAGACCAGTGCACAGAGATAGGAGATTTAGCAACTCCATGACCCATCTATAAGTTGAAACAGTCCCAATAACCCACACTTTGTGTGCCAAGACTTTTGAATGAAAAGCACTCAGTAAACACCACAGTTTAATGACAATTCATAACTCATTTATCTCATTTCACAATGAGCATTCCTTTGTCTGCCTGCATTGTTTACTGCCTGTTTATACTGCTTATTTTGCATTGTTTGCACTGTTTGTTGCTTGTTAATACTGCTTATTTTGTTATATTACACAGCCTTATGTTGGTTTACTGTTTGCTTGCCCCTTGCATGGGGATATGTACATACACATTGAGAGCCGCTGTACCAGAGTCAAATTCCTCGAACCTGGTAGCAATCAGTCCTCTCTGGGTACTCCGGCTTCATCTCTCCTACTACTACTTCCTGTTGCTTTCATTACAAACCTATATAAAAAAAAAGAATCATATGGGATACATTATGACTCTGACACTAAATTGAGATGATTCTTCATGAGTCTCCTCCAGTGAAAGCACTTTTCTTTCAGACTCTGATGAAAACAAACATTTGGTTACTGTTTTCTCTGTCTGTTTGTTGTTCAGGAGCTGTACTTGGAGAACAACCTGATTGAAGAAATCTCTGAGACAGTTTTCAATCAAACTACAAATCTGAACGTGCTTTCTCTCAGACACAACAGGCTGGATGAGACCAGGATTGCCCCGATGGCCTGGTTCAACCACAGGTCAGACTAAAAGAGACAGAAGTGACCCTCGGGCCTCACAAGAAATTACTATCAATGTATTTAAATTTTAATTTTGGCTTTTAAAAATACAAATGTTATTTTGTTTCACTACCACGCTTTCCTGTGTGTATCCTGTTGTATTACTGAGTGTTTCTAAGAGTAAAGGAACATGTTTTGGTATGATATTAATAGAACCACAGTGGATGGTATCTCTCTTCTGTCAGGTCTGTTTTTTTTTAACCTGGTAGCAATCAGTCACTTAATCTCTGTCTCATGTCCATTTCCCCGTAAAACCATCCTACTCTGCTCTTGTGCAGAAACCTGGAGTCCATCGATCTTTCACATAATGACATTTACCTGGTTCCGTCCCACCTACCCAGATCTCTGGTCCACCTAGTGCTGGTGGGAAACAAAATTGAGAGGATACCTGGTAGGTGGAACATGTTGGGGGTGGGATGAGGTTGGGAGTAAGATGATTTGCATTTAGAGGACATTTACTGTAGGCCCCTCAAACTTAATGGTATCCCCACCACTGTATTTTGAAAGCATGAAAAGGTCAAAATAATTTTTTAAGTGATAGATTCTCATAAAAAATGTACCAAATGAAGTTATTTTATCACTGGTGGCAAGATCTGCCATGACAGCACCTATAAATCAAGTAATAGATGATGCTATCTCCATAGGCTACGTCTTTGCCCACATGGTCCCTGGTTTAGAATACCTCTACCTCTCCTACAACAAACTGGACGGGGAGGGCATTGAACCTGAGTCGTTCTTTGGCTCATATCACTCCATGGTCGAACTATGTCTGGATCACAATCAGCTCCTCGCTGTGCCGTCTGGCATCAACGAGATGACCGGCCTACACTTTCTCAGACTCAACAATAACATGATCAGGTATGAAGCCACCATTTTGGAGCCATCTATTAGTAGAATATGTGAATATCTCACTCTTTTCCAGGTTTCCTGGGATTTCTTGCCATAAATGAAGTTTAGGTTTAAAACAGAACTATGAATAATTAATAATCAAATGATATTTATTCAGGTGGCATGATGGAGCCATGCCCGGTTGGCCCAGTTGACCCAGAGCCTTTCTGTGTGATGTTTGAATGTTTTCCCTGTGCCTGCGTGGGTTCTCTCTGGGTACTCCGGCTTCATCCCACAGTCCAAAGACATGTAGCTTAGGTTCACTGGCAACTCTAAATTGCCCCTAAGAGTGAGTGTGGGCGTGTCTCATAGTGTCAACTCTGTGATAGACTGGCGACCTGTCCAGGGTGGTCCCCACCTCTCGTCCAATGTCAGCTGGGATTGGCTCAGGCGCCCCCATGACCCTATTCAGGAAAAATTGGTATAGATAATGGATGGCTGGATGATATTTATTCATATTTTCTAAAGCTTATACTTTGTTTATATGAAAATATTTATGAATAATGTGTTCTGTTTTCTGTGTACTCTCTTAGTTTAATAGGTGCATGTGGCTATATGGGAATGTGTGACTATTTTAGTGTTGACTCAAGGTCATACTGCATGGAGAGGCAGAGAAATCCACCAAATGCAGCCATATAAGCAGGCTTTTTATGAAGTATGGAGGACAGGAGAGCTGTTTTTGGATGTTTAGATCCACTGTACTTGATGTCTATGTGTTGAGTACTGCACTGTCCCTTCAATTGTTTCAATACATACAATAGTTCTCAGTATGCGAACACACAGGAGAAGACATGCTCAAGATTCTTGCATGCATATGTACTTTTTGGTGAGAATTTGTGGGAAATACCAAGATACGAATTCCAAGCATTTTTCATACATTCATCAACTTGCATACCCTATTCAGTGTCACAGGGATTGAAGTCCAGCACTGCATACAGGCCCTGTAGTTCCTGTGACTGTGATGAGGCCACCAGCTCATCACAGCACACCCATGACCCAAGGATCTGATTTATCACAACTTGAAACTCATTTTCATAGTGCTGTCCATCATTTCTGTCAGTTATGATGTCTAATTGTGTATTCAACAAGTGTCTTTGGTCAGAGGATGTCATACCCTGTACAGATTATAAAAACCCTTGAGGCAAACGTCTAATTTCTGATTTTTTTGGATAAATAAAAACTTGACAAGTCCATTGCTAAGATCTGGAAACATCAAATGTTCTCAGCAACCTTATTATCTTGATAAGTACATTTCCATCATAATTGATGGAACTAATGGACAAAACTATGGAGACAAGGCTGAAGCTGAAATAAATATGAAATATCATTTAACATTACTTTACACCAGCAGAACCAATTATTGGTATGTTTTATTTATTTATTGTATAATGAACTATTATTCAAAAAGGACTATGCTCAAGGTAGGAGGTCAGCAAAAATTCATCAAAGAAAATCAACAAAAGGCCTTTGCATTTTGAAGGATGGCTCAAAACTATTTTATTCTTAGCTTAAAAATTACATGGCTGAGAAAGAACACAGATGTTTCGGCAAAGCTGTCTTAGTCGCCTATGTTGTTTCTTATTAAACAAAGACTTTCTCAAAATATACACACAAGACTTGAGTTTTTAAAACAAATCCACTTTATCATTATTATTAATGAAAGAGCTCAAGGAAAACAATCTAATGTCAATACAATGATTTACGATCAATAATTAAGACCGGAGCCTGCGCAGATGACTGACTCATTAATCACAGCCTTCCAGACAAAACAGAAAATTCATTAGTTAGAGAGTCGTCCTGACAACAAGAAACAAAACAAGCCGATTCATATTTCCACCTGCGAGTTACCCCGCATCACCTCATTACTCACTCACAGGTCCATACACAGTACGCAGAGTTAGTCCAGGCAGAGGCATGAGTTTATATAAAAGTAGTATTACAATTTAAACACTGCTCCATTGCCACTGCTTACATGGATGACACCAAAGGTGGAACACTGTAATCAGTCTCCAACCAAAGATTGCAGATTATTTTCACATACAGTGCCTTGCAAAAGGATTCGGCCCCCTTGAACTTTGCGACCTTTTGCCACATTTCAGGCTTCAAACATAAAGATATAAAACTGTAATTTTTTGTGAAGAATCAACAACAAGTGGGACACAATCATGAAGTGGAACGAAATTTATTGGATATTTCAAACTTTTTTAACAAATAAAAAACTGAAAAATTGGGCGTGCAAAATTATTCAGCCCCTTTACTTTCAGTGCAGCAAACTCTCTCCAGAAGTTCAGTGAGGATCTCTGAATGATCCAATGTTGACCTAAATGACTAATGATGATAAATAAAATCCACCTGTGTGTAATCAAGTCTCAGTATAAATGCACCTGCACTGTGATAGTCTCAGAGCTCCGTTTAAAGCGCAGAGAGCATCATGAAGAACAAGGAACACCAGGCAGGTCCGAGATACTGTTGTGGAGAAGTTTAAAGCCGGATTTGGATACAAAAAGAGTTCCCAAGCTTTAAACATCCCAAGGAGCACTGTGCAAGCGATAATATTGAAATGGAAAATGGAAGGAGTATCAGACCACTGCAAATCTACCAAGACCTGGCCGTCCCTCTAAACTTTCAGCTCATACAAGGAGAAGACCGATCAGAGATGCAGCCAAGAGGCCCATGATCACTCTGGATGAACTGCAGAGATCTACAGCGGAGGTGGGAGACTCTGTCCATAGGACAACAATCAGTCGTATACTGCACAAATCTGGCCTTTATGGAAGAGTGGCAAGAAGAAAGCCATTTCTTAAAGATAGCCATAAAAAGTGTCGTTTAAAGTTTGCCACAAGCCACCTGGGAGACACACCAAACATGTGGAAGAAGGTGCTCTGGTCAGATGAAACCAAAATCGAACTTTTTGGCAACAATGCAAAACGTTATGTTTGGCGTAAAAGCAACACAGCTCATCACCCTGAACACACCATCCCCACTGTCAAACATGGTGGTGGCAGCATCCTGGTTTGGGCCTGCTTTTCTTCAGCAGGGACAGGGAAGATGGTTATAATTGATGGGAAGATGGATGGAGCCAAATACAGGACCATTCTGGAAGGAAACCTGATGGAGTCTGCAAAAGACCTGAGACTGGGGCGGAGATTTGTCTTCCAACAAGACACTGATCCAAAACATAAAGCAAAATCTACAATGGAATGGTTCAAAACTAAACATATCCAGGTGTTAGAATGGCCAAGTCAAAGTCCAGACCTGAATCCAATCGAGAATCTGTGGAAAGAACTGAAAACTGCTGTTCACAAATGCTCTCCATCCAACCTCACTGAGCTCGAGCTGTTTTGCAAGGAGGCATGGGCAAAAATTTCAGTCTCTCGATGTGCAAAACTGATAGAGACATACCCCAAGCGACTTACAGCTGTAATCGCAGCAAAAGGTGGCGCTACAAAGTATTAACTTAAGGGGGCTGAATAATTTTGCACGCCCAATTTTTCAGTTTTTTTATTTGTTAAAAAAGTTTGACATATCCAATAAATTTCGTTCCACTTCATGATTGTGTCCCACTTGTTGTTGATTCTTCACAAAAAACTACAGTTTTATATCTTTATGTTTGAAGCCTGAAATGTGGCAAAAGGTCGCAAAGTTCAAGGGGGCCGAATACTTTCGCAAGGCACTGTATAAGGTGAAGAACAACCAAAAACAACAGAAACAAGAACAACAACATAAATAGGAAGATAAATAGTGACAAATAAAGACTTCAGCATTACTAATCTAAAAGACATCTTTTTATAAATAACAAGCAACTTTGTGATTTTTTTTTTTTTGGTGGGGAACAGTAGGAAAACAGGGGAAATACCGATTTTTTTTTTTGGGTGGGGAACAGTAGGAAAACAGGGGAAGATCTCAGACCTCTAGCTGGAAATGGTCTAATCTGGCAATGTTTCTAAGATAAAGAGAAATTTTGTGAACTTGATGAGATGACATAAACTGTATGTCTAAAATCACTCCCAGATCTGAAACAGGCCAATCGTGAATGTGTTTTCTCTTTTTCTACTTTGTTGCTAATTTAGTTTTAATGAATTGTTACACATCGAAACAATAACAGTGAGACAAGAAATAAGAACTGTGGTCGTAGAGTGAAATAGATATACAGTTCTTTATCATCTGCGTAACAGTGGCATTTGACTGACGACTAGAATAGGCCAAGCCTAACTGGTCCTGAAAGTATGAGCAAACACCATGCACTAGATGTAACAAAGTGTATTTAACTGCATCCTGATGCTGTGTCTTGCAGGTCTATCCCTGACGAAAGCATCTGTGACCCAAACCACAGTGAAGACTCCACTCTGGTGGCACTGAGGCTGGAAAACAACTACATCCAAGAGATTTCACCGACAGCCTTTTCCTGTCTACGCTCCTCCTCCAGTTTGATCTTAAAACCCCAGAAAACCAAGTGACCAGAGTCCACACAAAACAAACACTAAAAATCAAATGAAACACAGGGGTTAAGATTTTGAATGTACCAAGTGAAACGCTAGATAAATTTCCCCCAGTATCTGCCACTGATGCTAAAAACACTCAAAATATTAAGAACTGCTGTACAGGTTGAACATGGAAACATATGAATTTTCACAGTATAAACACAGTTACTGCTGATTTAATTTGCCTTAAGGGAATTTATTATCCTGTTATATCCTTGGACTGAGTGCTTACAAGCTGCAGAAAAGTAAGATTTTCTTCTCCTCTGGCTCTAGTACTCTCTTTTAGGTCTGCTAAGTTGTTCTGTACTGTCAACAGGCCCATGGTAAACTGGTATGCAGGTGACAGAACACATTTAGACTTCAAAATCAAACACATCTGTCTCCTTTAGTAAAATGTTCAACTGTCTAAAATGGAAAAAATTCCTCCACCATGCACAGGAAAAGGAAAGTGCTAATAAAGAAATGGAAAAACTTATGAAGTGTGACCAAAACCCCAACATATTATTTTTGACAGCCTCAGCACCATCATGATTCAGTTCTCAGCTCTGTTTCTTCCAGTTTCTTCTTTCGTAAAAATTATGACATGGAAAGGGTGTGAGCAGTGAAATCACATGTAATACATTCAAGCTCACATGTTAAAGTTGCATTAACTAAAATTTTACACACTGACAAATACAGTGAACATGGGACAGGATGTGGTGTCTCTCAGCTACACTCCCACCTCCATGACACTCTGCTGCCTACAGCCTTTCTGTTGTTATTCCAGATTCTCTACCCTGTGTTGTCAAAGAGTGGTGCATATATTAAAGCTAATCTGATCCGAGCTAATCTAATGTATTTGTTATGGTACTCCGGCTTCCACCCACAGTCCAAAGACATGCAGCTTAGGTTGACTGGTGACTCCAAATTGCCTGTAGGAGTGAGTGTGAGTGTATGTTTGTCTACATGTCAGCTCTGTGACAGACTGGCAAACTGTCCAGGGTGGACCCCACCTTAGGAAAAAGTGGTATAGATAATGGATGGATGGTTTTACTTGGGGAGTAATTTGAGCTTTGTGTAACATTAATGCTTTGTGTCACATGATCAGTAACCAGAGCGTTCTACAGGATTGACAAATTTACTTGTTAGGCAGCTAACACTAGCTCAGGACTGGAGGCTGCATTTTGTAAAGTTTGTCGCAACAAGGCACCCATAGCTTACAGTGTTGCTAGGATGCAGGATGTAATGGGAGGGGCAAAGAGCGATTAGTCCGGCTAAAGGTGTCCATCTGTTCTGAGTGTCTGTAGACCCTCCAGGCTGAAAAGAAGTTAGAATAGCTTTAAAGATTAAGAGCAGGTTAAAGAATTACGTTAAGCTGAGTGCTGCTGGAGAGACAGAAGATGTAATGACGCGTCTGCTCATTTCTTATCCAGCTTTTACACTTTTTTAATCAGTGCTTAAGTGGTTGGAAACAGGACAGTAACACTCTCTGGTGCACTTGAGCTTGATTTTTTTTTTCCTGACACAAGGGATTAACAGGAGCTCTGATTTATAGGTCATCTTCAGATTTCACCCACTGATGGTAACCCCACAATGCTAGATACTGTACATATATGGTGCGTGATCAGGCCATACTGTGTTTTGACTAAATCCCCCTCAGTAATCGTTTCACTTGAGTTTGTATTATAGAATGATGGTAGAAGACCATTCCATGTAGTTGCTGTGTTTATAATATGTGGTTTCATTCACTGTTGAGCAAGGATCACAGTGAGCAGTGGGTATGTCAGGGTTTCATGAAGATGAGCATATCAATGTGGAATATGTGGTTGGAGGAAACAATTACTGGGAGAACATTGGTACCAGAAGTATTTTCCTCCAATGTAAATTTCCATTTTAAAGTTTTCTTTTAATCGTCTCCTCAGTGTTCCTCAACAGAGACACTAATAATTATTTAGCCATAAGATCAGTCTTTATTAATATACAGAGGGCTTCAACTATCAACCTGTGCAATTGTACTACAATGTGTTAATAAGTTAACAGTACTGGCAGTGAATGAACAAAGCATTGGAGAGTAAATCCTTTGTGTATAAAAAGGCAGAAAGTACATTAAAAGCTCTTACAATAACTTACAGATTGTACCTTTGCTTTAAATAGCATTAAATGGAGGAACAGTTCAATCAGTAATCTGTAATCTGGGTTACAGTTAACTGTTTTATTACAAATACCAAAAATGTTTATATTTAATATGCCTTTCCATTTGCTCTTGGCTGGCCAACATGTCTAAATTATTTGATTTCACTTGTCAACAATCATATACTAATAGTTTTTTTTTTACAGTGTTATGATGCACAATTCAAATAAACTTCACTATGTTCCCATTACTGCCTGATTGATGAAGTCCCACCTACATTCATGTGTACAAAACCCCATCAGAATTATCAGTCATGTTCAGGTCAGGACTAAAATAAAAGGATAGTTATTACAATAACAGCACTGACAGTTACATTCAAAAGTACACAACAAGCATAAAAATATGAGGTTTAGTTATTCATGTAAGCCACAGTCTGATGAGCTGTAAGCATCCTTCCCTTATAGCGCGACACCAAGCCTATCTGACTCTGAGTGGTGACTCATAAACCTTCCCTCAACTCCTACATGGTCAGCACATCCAGCACATTGAGAAGTACTTGCATTTACTTTCATACTGTCAAATTTACACTTCTTGCCTCCAAGAGTAAAGTGTATTAATAATGACTATGAAGAAGGGGGTCATGATAAAATCTGGTAATCTTTGGATAACATGTCTTCTACCCTCATGCAATACACATTAACTGAAATCTCTAATTATCAGAGCTGGAAAAACCAACGTTATTGTAATATTTTCCTGCGAAACTTGAGGTTTAGGATCATTTACTTCAGCAGTAGACAGATTTAAAGAATGACTGGAACAGAACAGCAAAATTGCAAAGAAAGCAAAAATGTCATTTCCCTCTCTGGTCAGACAAATTGTAAATATTAAAGAATTATATACAGACAAAAGTAAATATAAAGTAATAAAAACAACAATAAGTCATGTCTGGTCAGTTTCTAGATGCTGGCAGTGATCACCGCACTGTACTTCAGATGGAAAACCTTCCAATGAGCTGTAATTCAAGGATCAAAGATTTTCCTGTAAAGAAGATTGAGTACTTCTCATCTGCCAACAGGAACAGCTGCTGCGCTCATCAGTGTCAAATCAGAAATGAAGAAACTATCTAATAGTTGTTAGTCACACAGCCTCATTGATGCTCCTCAGGATGGGGGCATATAGCTGAAAAATTCCCCTCACAGGATTAGCATGACAGCGCTGTTTATACTCTGCAGGCCATTTATCAGGTAAAAATATTAAATTTTTGATTAATTGTTTGCAATTATGGCCAGTGCAAGTGGTGATTCAGTCAGTGCAGCCACCAGTACTGTAGAAGCCAGTCCATATTTGAAATACTTTTATGAACAAATCAGTACAGATCCCAACAGAAAAAAAATCTCAAATTTGTATGCATATTGTGTAACTACATTTATGAAAGTACAAGTACATGAGTGTTAATGATTGGGGGCTTGGGATGGATGGATGGGTGGTTCTTTTGAAAAAATGTTTTCTACTGCTCAGAGCAGCTCATTTAAGAAAATAAATGGAAGAAATGACAGAACTAGGTCTTTTTTTTGGGATAGTGAACTTCAAAAATCAAATGTTACTGTGTCTGAACTGAACTTTGAGGTAACTCCTGTCAGCGTGAACTTGCACAACACTGGCCATGGATATCTGAATTCCCAAGCCTAGACCCAAAATGCTTAATTATCTTTATAAATGCACCGATATCAATATTCCTGCATCAGGTGACTCTTGGTGAGGTGAGGTCATGGTCAAGCCTGAGGATGATGAACACTGGACTGCTGTGCAGCCCAGCTGGGTAGCACTCACAAGGGCAGGTAGCACAATGACTTGCAAATGTTTCCTGGCACCAAAGCAACAACAGCGCTGAGGCAACTCTTTGGCATTATGTCCTACAAGTTGCCCCAGTGACTCACAGCTTGACTGACTCAGATGAAGGAAATTCTCCTCAGTACAAGAGCACAATATGCTCCAGCCAATCAAAGGCTGTCACAGACATATGAAAGTTTGGAACATATGAGATTTGATTGGATTTGATTTGATTTATTCTTTCAAACATGTAAAAACAGTTGATATGTCAACACACATAATTTTACACATATCCAACAAATGCTAATCCAATATCAATTTGCTTATACCTAGTACATGCTTGAATGGAGTAGGAAGAAGTCAGACTTATCCAGTCCTACCCCATGACATCATCTTACCATCATTGGTTTGCAAGCAGTATCTCTACATAAATAATTATCTTCCACACCACACAAGTAATATACTAAAGAATTATTATAGAATGTTAACATTCTTACATACAGTGGTGTGAAAAAGTGTTTGCCCCCTTACTGATTTCTTATCTTTTTGCATGTTTGTCACACTGTAATGTTTTAGATCGTCAAACAAATTTATATATTAGTCAAAGATAATACAAGTAAACACATCATGCAGTTTTTAAATGAAGGTTTTTATTATTAAGGGAAAACAAAATCCAAAACTATATAGCCCTGTGTGAACAAGTGTTTGCCCCCTAAACCTAATAACTGGTTGGGCCACCCTTAGCAGCAACAACTGCAATCAAGCGTTTTCGATAACTTGCCATGAGTCTTTTACAGCGCTGTGGAGGAATTTTGGCCCACTCATCTTGGCAGAATGGTTGTAAGTCAGCCACATTGGAGGGATTTCGGGCATGAACTGCCTTTTTAAGGTCATGCCACAGCATCTCAATTGGATTCAGGTCAGGACTTTGACTAGGCCACTCCAAAGTCTTCATGTTGTTTTTCTTCAGCCATTCAGAAGTGGACTTGCTGGTGTGCTTTGGATCATTGTCCTGCTGCAGAACCCAAGTTCGCTTCAGCTTGAGGGCACAAACGGATGGCCGGACATTCTCCTCCAGGATATTTTGGTACACAGCAGAATTCATGGTTCCATTTATCACAGCAAGCCTTCCAGGGCCTGAAGCAGCAAAACAGCCCCAGACCATCACACTACCACCACCATATTTTACTGTTGGTATGATGTTCTTTTTCTGAAATGCGGTGTTACTTTTACGCCACACAGAATGGGACACACACCTTCCAAAAAGTTCAACTTGTGTCTCTTCTGTCCACAGACTATTATCCCAAAAGTCTTGGGGATCATCAAGATGTTTTCTGGCAAAACTGAGACGAGCCTTTATGTTCTTATTGCTCAGCAGTGGTTTTCGTCTTGGAACTCTGCCATGCAAACCATTTTTGCCCAGTCTCTTTCTTATGGTGGAGTCATGAACACTCACCTTAACTGAGGCAAGTGAGGCCTGCAGTTCTTTGGATGTTGTTGTGGGGTCTTTTGTGACCTCTTGGATGAGTTGTCGCTGCGCTCTTGGGGTAATTTTGGTCGGCCGGCCACTCCTGGGAAGGTTCTCCACTGTTCCATGTTTTCGCCATTTGTGGATAATGGCTCTCACTGTGGTTCGCTGCAGTCCCAAAGCTTTAGAAATGGCTTTATAACCTTTTCCAAACTGATAGAGCTCAATTATTCTCTTTCTCATTTGGTTTTGAATTTCTTTGGATCTCGGCATGATGTCTAGCTTTTGAGGATCTTTTGGTCTACTTCACTTTGTCAGGCAGGTCCTATTTAAGTGATTTCTTGATTGCGAACAGGTGTGGCAGTAATCAGGCCTGGGTGTGCAGATAGAAAAGAGAATCCTGACCACCTCCCATCAGGAATGCAGACCATCTCCCACAGGAAAATCATCTCTAACATTTAATTTGTAGTTTGAATACTGTAATTCCAACAATTACACCATCATTTTTTTCACTAC